AACCAAGGTAAGCTGGGCGAGGCAGAGCAGATGTACTTGCGGGCGCTGCGAGGGTACGAGGAGGCACTCGGGCCCACCCACACGTCGACACTAAACACGGTCAACAACCTGGGCAACCTCTACAAGAACCAAGGCAAGCTGGGCGAGGCAGAGCAGATGTACAAGCGGGCGCTGCAAGGATACGAGGCACTCGGCAGTGTTCGCGTCCAGCAGTACCTGCCAGCATTCAATACCTTACAGAATATGGGCGATCTTTATGCAAAGCAAGCCGAGATCGCCAAAGCTCGAGCGGTGTAATCAAGGGCTCTTGCTGGCTTCACTAGTGTGCTTGGTCAGTCGAGTAAGAGGTGCATAAGCTTAGCCGCGAAGATGGACGCTTTGCCCTCTCTTAGGAAAGAGAAAAGAATAGCCGAAACTGTAATAGTAAGAGAGGGTTCTACACTGTAGCACGACCGAATAAAGAAGAGCTCTAGAGTGTTTATACGGAGACTTGTCAAAAAGGTGCTTTAATAGCGCACTTCTGTTTATCATATGCTATACATAGATGCTACAAGGCGAAGAAATAATTAGTGAAGGTAGAGACTATTAGATCTAGTGTTTATCTTCTATTTTCTATAATAACTATTCGTGCTACTATAGAAGACTAATAAAGTACGCTGTAAGATGCTTACTAATAGTTGTAATAAACAAGTGCAACGGTTTTTGTAGGTAGGGAGTAAGGGTTATGCCGACAAGAGCTAGAGCGAGTAAGGAAAAGCCTGTGCTAAGCGAGACAGGGGTGAGCGTGGGATGACAACAAAGCCGCGTGCGCAAAGCGGAAGCTGCAAATGCATGAGAGTGTACCTAACCTCGAAGAGAACTATGATAAGAAATCCGTATAAGCGCAATGCGCCGGACAAATAATCGATATCACATCCATTGTAATTAATAATGCCAGCAACATGGGTATTGGGACGTGATAAAGGTTGCTTACTCTAGCAATCATCACGTGATGCTGTAGCTGACAGTCACAGCCAATGAAGGCTTCTGGTGGCCCGAGGGTGTTGCTTACGAACATGCGGAAGAGCCGGATGTCGGTGTGTTCGGCTGCCGGTGACATTACAAACCTCATTTTCCACTTCACTGCATCCGACGCGACCACAACATCTTCGTCCATTTTTCGGCCCCCGGATTGAAGACTGTAATAAAGGTGTAGAAGTGCATCAGAGTTTCGGTCCGTTGTCAAGTAGAAATGTATATGTATAGCTATGGTTTCATCTTGTTACATCTCATGCGACATCCTGCATTTTAGCATTTCCTTCCCAAGATACCCACCAGTTTGTTAATTCTTCAACATTCAATCATGACTGAACAACGCAACATCATCGTGCTCGGCGCTTCAGGCGCCGGTCTTCAAGCAGCCCACTACATCCTCAAGCACATACTACCTGCTCTCAAAGCTAAGAATGATGCCAAGTACCACGTCTATATTATCGCGCCATCATCGACTTGGTACTATAGAAATGCTTCGCCTCGCGTCGCAGCATCAACTGACCGCATGTCGACCGAGAAAGTCTTGTTCAATCTACACGATGCTTTCAAGCAGTACTCCAACGAAGACTTTAGCTTTGTCGAAGCTACCGCAACTGGTCTTGACACATCAGCACAGAAGGTCTCATATCGCAGCAAAAATGGAAAAGAGGAGCAGACTTTGCCGTATCACGCTTTGATTGTTGCTACAGGCAGCAACACCTACTTTACCGCCTTTTCCATGAGTGGAGATGCTCAAGATACTCTCGACTCGATCGCTTCGACCAATGAGAAGGTGGCATCAGCGAAGAAGATTGTCATTGCTGGAGGCGGAGCGACAGCCGTGGAATTTGCTGGTGAAGTCGCTGAGCATCGCAATGGTAAGCCGAGATGGTTTAGCAAAGTCGTTCCAAAAGTCGAGGTTACCTTGGTCACGTCTGATGTGAGGCTCCTCCCTACTCTACGCCCTGCAATTTCCGAAACAGCAGAGCGCAAGCTCAATGATCTCGGTGTAAAGGTCATCTACAACAAGCGTGTGACCGAGTCCACATCCAAAGAAGATGGTCGGACTGTAGTGGCGCTCCAGAACGGGGACAAGCTAGATGCAGATCTCTATGTGCCTGCCTATGGTATCCAGCCAAACTCTTCATGGCTTCCAAAAGAGCTCCTGGATGATAAGGGCTACCTCATCACCAGCTCCACTCTTCGCGTTGATGCAGCGGGTCCCCGTGTGTATGCCCTTGGCGATATCGGTTCCTACTCACACAACACCTACTTCGATATCTTGAATGGTCTACCTGTTCTTGCCACCAACCTCAAGCGCGACTTGCTATCTTTTGACCCCGCACGCCCTGATGAGAAGCCCAAAGGAAAGGACCGGGAACTTAAGCCCGACACGAGGGAGACCATGGTAGTCCCGATTGGAAGCGGCGGTGGTGTTGGCGCCATTATGGGATGGAGGCTGCCAAATTTTGTAGTCTGGTTGCTCAAGGGTAGAGATTACATGGTGGGTATGAGTGGGTTTTCTACAGCAAATGGAGATGGTGTCAAGAAGGAGGTCAAGTGGACTGCTGAAGAGGCTGCCATCTGAATGTTGCAGAAGATATGGAGGCGTTGATGAGCGTTCTGGGGTTCTAGTTCCATATCCCTTTTGCGTGTTTGTAATTAGTAATGCCTTAGAACTCAATGCATTGATATTTTTCCGAGACAGTGGCATGCTTGGTGAAGGTGCTGGGTGATTGACGAGGTTGGGAGTGGCTGCCCCGCGGAGAATAATGCAGGACGATTGGTTTCGAGCTCGCACCACCACATCACGGCGCGCTCCGCGTCTACACGACTCCCGCCTATCCTTGCACCCCACGTACGCGGCCCCAATGCGGGGTGAGTAACAGATCAAATGGACTTCGTGCGTATGGTCGACAACAAAAGGGTGAAGTGGAAGCTGACTGGACACAGTGGGTGAGGCTACTTGGCGGCTCGTCCCAGAAGAAGAAGCAGATCGCGCCAAACAACCCGCAGCAGCGGCTGGCACGCTTCCGGCAGCGATACAACCAAGTTCTGGTATGCGAGTGCGTCGATCCCATGATGCCCAAGACCTGACAGACAGCAGCAAGCATGGCAAAAGGCAACCAACCTCTCAAGCGACCGCGAAGCGCTGGGCAACATCCGCCGTGGCTTCCAGGCCCTCACCGCGATCCTCAGCGATGAGTCCCGATCACCCGCACCCCACATGTGCCTGCAGTTCGCAGCCGCCCAGCAGATATACACGGCCGTCTCCAAGATAGCGGCCACCGCGCACGACGAAGGCACCGTTAGGGACGCCGTCGCATTCTACAATGCCCTCATCGATAGCGAGGAAGAGGACTTTCTCGAGAATGATGTCTTCGCCGCCTCCCTCATGAACTTCATCGACCGGACAATCGGATCTGGCAGTATAGGCATTGGCGAAGACATTGAGGCTGACATTGTCGAGTTGCTGTTCGGCATTGCGGCCAAAATCAGGTTACAACCAGAGATCCTGCATGTCTGGTTCACCACCACATCTGCAGACAGCCAAAGGCGGCTGCTCAACCAGAAAGCCGATTTCGCGGGTGTCACACAAAAAGAAGATTTTCCGCTGTGCTATCAGCTCATTGACCACGTCCACCATGAAGGCCGTATCGGAGATTTTGCGCGCACTGGCCTACTGTACATATTCGAGTCTGCGTCCAGGTCTATAGATCTGGAGCAGTGGATAGTGAACAGTGATCTCCCTACACTCATGGCAACTGGACTGGGAGCACTGTACAGCCAGATGAGCAGGTAGGATACACGTTCACTCTATACTTCTACAACAAGCTAACGTGGCGTAGGAAACTGTCCATCCTACATCCCCCACAAGATCTGCCTCTTATACTGTCTCTTTCCGATTATCCCGAGATGAAATCGAATCCACAAGCAGAAAATTTCTTCAGTGTCGACTTTCAGGGTCATCTCCTTACGTTCCTGTCTTACCTTGCATTTTGGCAAGATGTATTGGAGCACTGCAGATCCGCCGATGTTAGAGTCACACTGATTGACCACTTCCAAGCCTTGTTTCTTCAGCAGCTCTTGTTCGTATTCACTATGCCCCCCTTGCACGCATTCTGCTAATCTCAAATAGGTACCCTTCGCTGCTAGAATCATCCGATGCTGATGGTGGTTCCTCTGTTGCAGTGCTTACATACCTCCGCCATATACTGGACGGCCTGGACCATCCCGAGCTTGTGCACATGATGCTTCAGTATTTGCTAGCACTACTGGACTATACGACTTCTACAGCGCCACGTTCACCCGCCGCTGTCAAACGACGCCAGTCGCTCATGCTGCTCAGTGCAACAGACAAAGATGACGACAAACTCAACCCATCGCTGTTCAACCTTGTCGATCTTGTGCTAGGTAGCACTGCTTCCCGAAATCCACAGACTGTCACCGCAGCGTTGAAGCTGACAACAGTGATTCTGAGCAAAAACCACAGCTATGCACTTGGGTCTCTTGTAAAGGTCATGGCCATTCACCACAAAGAGCATCATAGGACAGTCGGGTCGCTGAACAAGGAGCTTGAGATGTACCTCAACGTTGCTGTGGACCTTGCCGGTCTTGAAGGCGTCGACGAGGCCTATGACAGCTATTTGAAGGATGTGTTGAGCTTACTGGAATCTCATCCTTGTTCGCTGAAGACGATTGGCATACCATCCATGTCTGGGAAGAATCAAGGTTACTTTGACTCAGCTGAAGCCTCGGCTAGGGATGTTGACCCGCATCACCTGCTCCCAGAAGACCCACTCTTCCAAACCCTGATTGACCTGTTGCTAACATTCCTCACAAACGATGTCGAGACTAATCTGGCACTTACCGAGGCAATTATTACGCTCGGAACATGTTCTCAGCTACGTCTTGAAGGCTGGCTGTCTGTTGACCCTGCCGACTACCACTTCGAGAACAATAGCTCCGAAATAGAGTCATTCTCGAATGAAAATTTGCGGGCCATGTACATGGCTGAAAGGCTTCCAAATTGGAACCCAGCAGCCACACCCCAGTTGCTGGCGTGCTTGCAGCAGCTTCAGGCTCAAGTCAATGCTCTCCGGAGCGACATCAAGGACTGGGATGAGCAGGTTGCTAGCCGTAAAGACACTTTCCGCATCCACCAAGACATAGAAGAGGAGTCTAAAATGTCTACACCTCAGTCAAAAGCAGTTAGAGCTCCTTCCGAAACACCAGCAGGGTCTTGGACGCCACAGATACCAAAACATGTTCTGGACCCACCAAAG